TCTCAGATCATAGTGAAGAGTGTCTCAGATCATAGTGAAGAGTGTCTGTGTTGTTAAATCTCAAACTACAACTCAGTGGAGTCAAGGGTATGAGAATCACCGTTGTTAGTACGAATGCTGTTTTGGTCCGTGAGTTGTGTCATGAGTGATGTCATTGTGTGTGAGTGATGTTATTGTGTCTGAGTGATGATATTGTGTCTGAGTGATGTTATTGTGTCATGAGTATGTCATTGTGTCATGAGTGATGTCATTGTGTCTGCGTGATGTCATTGTGTGTGAGTGATGTCATTGTGTGTGAGTGATGTTATTGTGTCTGAGTGATGTTATTGTGTCATGAGTGATGTTATTGTGTCATGAGTGATGTTATTGTGTCTGAGTGATGTTATTGTGTCTGAGTGATTTCATTGTGTCTGAGTGATGTCATTGTGTCTGAGTGATGTTCTTGTGTCTGAGTGATGTTCTTGTGTCTGAGTGATGTTCTTGTGTCTGAGTGATGTTCTTGTGTCTGAGGGATGTCATTGTGTCTGATTGACCATTGGATGACCGGAATAGAAGAAGAATCAAGTGTGTGGATATAAGGCGTGAGATAGAGAGAGTGAACGCAATAGAGAGTGAGAGAGTGGAATAAAGAGAGAGTGAGAGAGTGGAATAAAGAGAGAGTGAGAGAGTGGAAGAAAAAGAGAGTTGATTACGGGCATAGTCCTGACACGTTCGTGAGTTTTAACTCATGTGTTTTTGGAAAGACATTGTAGGTATAAGGAGATACTGTAACCATGTGAGTATGTGCGACTGTGTAGTAAACAGTTATAAGGCGATACTGTTACTAGTCGAATCTGTGTGACTGTGTAGTTATAAGGAGATACTGTAACCAGGTGAAACTGTGCGACTGTGTAGTTATAAGGAGGTACTGTAACCAGGTGAATCTGTGTGACTGTGTAGTTATAAGGAGATACTGTAACCAGGTGAAACTGTGCGACTGTGTAGTTATAAGGAGGTACTGTAACCAGGTGAATCTGTGTGACTGTGTAGTTATAAGGAGATACTGTAACCAGGTGAATGTGTGTGACTGTGTAGTTATAAGGAGATACTGTAACCAGGTGAATGTGTGTGACTGTGTAGTTATAAGGAGATACTGTAACCAGATGAATGTGTGTGACTGTAGTTATAAGGAGATACTGTAACCAGGTGAATCTGTGTGACTGTGTAGTTATAAGGAGATACTGTAACCAAGTGAATCTGTGCGACTGTGTAGTTATAAGGAGATACTGTAACCAGGTGAATCTGTGTGACTGTGTAGTTATAAGGAGATACTGTAACCAGGTGAATCTGTGCGACTGTGTAGTTATAAGGAGATACTGTAACCAGGTGAATCTGTGTGGCTGTGTAGTTATAAGGAGATACTGTAACCAGGTGAATCTGTGCGACTGTGTAGTTATAAGGGGATACTGTAACCAGGTGAATCTGTGCGACTGTGTAGTTATAAGGGGATACTGTAACCAGGTGAATCTGTGTGACTGTGTAGTTATAAGGGGATACTGTAACCAGGTGAATCTGTGCGACTGTGTAGTTATAAGGGGATACTGTAACCAGGTGAATCTGTGCGACTGTGTAGTTATAAGGGGATACTGTAACCAGGTGAATCTGTGCGATTGTGTAGTTATAAGGGGATACTGTAACCAGGTGAATCTGTGTGGCTGTGTAGTTATAAGGAGATACTGTAACCAGGTGAATCTGTGCGACTGTGTAGTTATAAGGGGATACTGTAACCAGGTGAATCTGTGTGACTGTGTAGTTATAAGGAGATACTGTAACCAGGTGAATCTGTGTGACTGTGTAGTTATAAGGGGATACTGTAACCAGGTGAATCTGTGTGACTGTGTAGTTATAAGGAGATACTGTAACCAGGTGAATCTGTGTGACTGTGTAGTTATAAGGAGATACTGTAACCAGGTGAATCTGTGTGACTGTGTAGTTATAAGGAGATACTGTAACCAGGTGAATCTGTGTGACTGTGTAGTTATAAGGAGATACTGTAACCAGGTGAATCTGTGTGACTGTGTAGTTATAAGGAGATACTGTAACCAGGTGAATCTGTGTGACTGTGTAGTTATAAGGAGATACTGTAACCAGGTGAATCTGTGTGACTGTGTAGTTATAAGGAGATACTGTAACCAGGTGAATCTGTGTGACTGTGTAGTTATAAGGAGATACTGTAACCAGGTGAATCTGTGTGACTGTGTAGTTATAAGGAGATACTGTAACCAGGTGAATCTGTGTGACTGTGTAGTTATAAGGAGATACTGTAACCAGGTGAATCTGTGTGACTGTGTAGTTATAAGGAGATACTGTAACCAGGTGAATCTGTGTGACTGTGTAGTTATAAGGAGATACTGTAACCAGGTGAATCTGTGTGACTGTGTAGTTATAAGGAGATACTGTAACCAGGTGAATCTGTGTGACTGTGTAGTTATAAGGAGATACTGTAACCAGGTGAATCTGTGTGACTGTGTAGTTATAAGGAGATACTGTAACCAGGTGAATCTGTGTGACTGTGTAGTTATAAGGAGATACTGTAACCAGGTGAATCTGTGTGACTGTGTAGTTATAAGGAGATACTGTAACCAGGTGAATCTGTGTGACTGTGTAGTTATAAGGAGATACTGTAACCAGGTGAATCTGTGTGACTGTGTAGTTATAAGGAGATACTGTAACCAGGTGAATCTGTGTGACTGTGTAGTTATAAGGAGATACTGTAACCAGGTGAATCTGTGTGACTGTGTAGTTATAAGGAGATACTGTAACCAGGTGAATCTGTGTGGCTGTGTAGTTATAAGGAGCTAATGTAACCAGGTGAATCTGTCTGATTGTCTCATGTCTTTATTTACCGGGCCAGATTCTACACATAAGTATTGATTGAAATGACGTGACATACATACATGTTTTGTTAAAATGACATGACACGCATATATGTATTGTTGAAATGACATGACTCATACATATGTAATGTTGAAATGACATGATATGCATATATGAATTTTTGAAATAACCTGACATACACATATGTAATGTTGAAATGACTTTGGTCACAAATATGTATTTTTGAAATGAAATACACATATGTATTGTTGAAATGTCATAACTTAAACATATGTAATGGTAAAATGACATGACTCTCACACACCTATTGCTGAAATGACATGACTCACACATACGTATTGTTGACATGACATGACTCATACATACGTATTGTTGACATGACATGACTCACACATGCGTATTGTTGACATGACTCACACATACGTATTGTTGACATGACATGACTCACACATGCGTATTGTTGACATGACATGACTCACACATACGTATTGTTGACATGACATGACTCACACATGCGTATTGTTGACATGACATGACTCACACATGCGTATTGTTGACATGACATGACTCACACATGCGTATTGTTGACATGACATGACTCACACATGCGTATTGTTGACATGACATGACTCACACATACGTATTGTTGACATGACATGACTCACACATGCGTATTACTGACATGACACGACTCACACATACGTATTGTTGACATGACATGACTCACACATACGTATTGTTTACATGACATGACTCACACATACGTATTATTGACCTGACATGACTCACACATACATATTGTTGACCTGAAATGACTCACAAACACGTATTGTTGAAATGACATGACTCACACATACGTATTGTTGACATGACATGACTCACACATACGTATTGTTGACATGACATGACTCACACATATGTATTGTTGACATGACATGTGGCACAACAAAACCATGCTGCCTCCTGTCGGTCCATCAAGAGATTAATTTGTTAGTTCTGCCCGATGGTGGAGATGTAAAGCGAGGAGGGGGAGGGACAGGGAGATCACGTGGGACGACCATTAGACTCAATGTATGCGAATGGGTGTGTTGGTGTCTTTGAGTTGCGAATGGTAATGTTGGTGTCTTTGAGTTGTAAGTGGTAATGTTGGTGTTTTTGAGTTGCGAGTGGTAATGTTGGTGTCTTTGAGTTGCGAGTGTTAATGTTGGTGTCTTTGAGTTGCGAGTGGTAATGCTGGTGTCTTTGAGTTGCGAATGGTAATGTTGGTGTCTTTGAGTTGTGAGTGTTAATGTTGGTGTCTTTGAGTTGCGAATGGTAATGTTGGTGTCTTTGAGTTGCGAATGGTAATGTTGGTGTCTTTTAGTTGCGAATGATAATGTTGGTGTCTTTGTGTTGCGAATGGTAATGTTGGTGTCTTTGAGTTGCGAATGGTAATGTTGGTGTCTTTGAGTTGCGAATGGTAATGTTGGTGTCTTTGAGTTGCGAATGGTAATGTTGGTGTCTTTGAGTTGCGAATGGTAATGTTGGTGTCTTTGAGTTGCGAATGGTAATGTTGGTGTCTTTGAGTTGCGAATGGTAATGTTGGTGTCTTTGAGTTGCGAATGGTAATGTTGGTGTCTTTGAGTTGCGAATGTTAATGTTGATGTTTTGAGTTGTAAAGATTTGTTTTATGATTTTATTCTATATTCCACAGGTTAGCAAACGGAAAGACGTCGTTAGATACCGAATGGAACTGGATCAATGCAGTATGAAATTAGTATACAATCGTTGAAGTTTTTTAAGAAAAAATGTAACTTTGAACGAACCACTCCAAAACATAGTTAGTTATTTTCGATTATATTACTGCTACTATCTGAAGAGCTCATCCATACTTCAATTACAGCATGGAGAGTAATAACATGAAATACTGGCTATGCCTATAATATTTCTTGAATCAGCTACGTGAATCCAATGACCTGATCAATTATAGATTGCCTAACACACTGCTGAGTTCCAACATAGGACACGCCCTGTAATGTGAGCTGTAAAGTCTCGAGATCAATACTGAAGTCACTGAAACATTCAGTCGTCCTACAAGGGTGCAGATGGCCTTGTTGAGGTCAAAGTCCACAGACTTCTTCCCGCACAAGTTCATGACGTCCAGTGTCCGGCACCTCCAGGAGGCTCTCTACACACACCTGGATGACCTGGAGAAGAAGGACTTCATTGAGGCGCTCAGCACCTACGGGACGCAGAGGGACATCTTCGAGCTGGTCAACTCTCTGAGGAAGATCCTCAATACGCCGGCCAAGCGCCAGTTGTTTCCCCTGGTGAAGCGCGTCATCAGACAAGGGGATGCCGAGGCATTTGACTTGTTGACAAGGTAATGGTGTAAGATGATTGGTTGAATGGGGGACAAGGTAATGGTGTAAGATGATTTGTTGAATGGTAGACAAGGTAATGGTGTAAGAAGATTAGTTGAATGGTGGACAAGGTAATGGTGTAAGATGATTGGTTGACTGGTTGACAAGGTAATGGTGTAAGATGATTGGTTGAAAGATTGACAAGGTGATGGTGTAAGATTATTGGTTGACTTGTTCACCAGGTTCTGGTGTAAGATGATTGGTTGAATGTTGGACAAGGTAATGGTGTCAGGTGATTGGTTGATTTGTTGACAAGATAATTGTGTAAGATGATTTGTTGAATTTTTGACAAGGTAATGGTGTAAGATGATTGGTTGAAAGGTTGGCAAGGTAGTGGTGTAAGTTGATTGGTTGAATGGTTGACAAGGTAATGGTGTAAGATGATTGGTTGGAAGGTTGGCAAGATAGTGGTGTGAGATGACGGGTTGAATGGTTGACAAGGTAATGGTGTAAGATGATTGGTTGGAAGGTTGGCAAGATAGTGGTGTGAGATGATTAATTGAATGGTTGACAAGGTGATGGTGTAAGATGATTAATTGAATGGTTGACAAGGTGATGGTGTAAGATGATTAATTGAATGGTTGACAAGGTGATGGTGTAAGATGATTAATTGAATGGTTGACAAGGTGATGGTGTAAGATGATTAATTGAATGGTTGACAAGGTGATGGTGTAAGATGATTAATTGAATGGTTGACAAGGTGATGGTGTAAGATGATTAATTGAATGGTTGACAGGGTGATGGTGTAAGATGATTAATTGAATGGTTGACAAGGTGATGGTGTAAGATGATTAATTGAATGGTTGACAAGGTGATGGTGTAAGATGATTAATTGAATGTTTGACAAGGTGATGGTGTAAGATGATTAATTGAATGGTTGACAAGGTGATGGTGTAAGATGATTAATTGAATGGTTGACAAGGTAATGGTGTAAGTTGATTAATTGAATGGTTGACAAGGTAATGGTGTAAGATGATTAATTGAATGGTTGACAAGGTGATGGTGTAAGAAGATTAATTAAATGGTTGACAAGGTGATGGTGTAAGATGATTAATTAAATGGTTGACAAGGTGATGGTGTAAGATGATTGGTTGAATGGTTGACAAGGTGATGGTGTAAGATGATTGGTTGAATGGTTGACAAGGTGATGGTGTAAGATGATTAATTGAATGGTTGACAAGGTGATGGTGTAAGATGATTAATTGAATGGTTGACAAGGTGATGGTGTAAGATGATTAATTGAATGGTTGACAAGGTAATGGTGTAAGTTGATTAATTGAATGGTTGACAAGGTAATGGTGTAAGATGATTAATTGAATGGTTGACAAGGTGATGGTGTAAGAAGATTAATTAAATGGTTGACAAGGTGATGGTGTAAGATGATTAATTAAATGGTTGACAAGGTGATGGTGTAAGATGATTGGTTGAATGGTTGACAAGGTGATGGTGTAAGATGATTGGTTGAATGGTTGACAAGGTGATGGTGTAAGATGATTAATTGAATGGTTGACAAGGTGATGGTGTAAGATGATTAATTGAATGGTTGACAAGGTAATGGTGTCAGATGATTAATTGAATGGTTGACAAGGTGATGGTGTAAGATGATTAATTGAATGGTTGACAAGGTGATGGTGTAAGATGATTAATTAAATGGTTGACAAGGTGATGGTGTAAGATGATTGGTTGAATGGTTGACAAGGTGATGGTGTAAGATGATTAATTGAATGGTTGACAAGGTGATGGTGTAAGATGATTAATTGAATGGTTGACAAGGTGAGACAAGGTGATGGTGTAAGATGATTGGTTGAATGGTTGACAAGGTGATGGTGTAAGATGATTAATTGAATGGTTGACAAGGTGATGGTGTAAGATGATTAATTGAATGGTTGACAAGGTGATGGTGTCAGATGATTAATTGAATGGTTGACAAGGTGATGGTGTAAGATGATTAATTGAATGGTTGACAAGGTGATGGTGTAAGATGATTTGTTGAATGTTTGACAAGGTGATGGTGTAAGATGATTAATTGAATGGTTGACAAGGTAATGGTGTAAGATGATTAATTGAATGGTTGACAAGGTGATGGTGTAAGATGATTGGTTGAATGATTTTTGGGGAGTTTAAAATGAACGTTTCTGTCCACTTATTGCCGTCACTGTCTGTCACTGTCTGTGCTCAAGAACTGAGAGGGGCGACACAACATACCACAGGCCGCGCCATAGGGAAACTTAGCTTTAGTTAATATATTTAGGTAAATTAATGCTGTAACAAGATAAGCTTGGGTTTTAATACAAAAAAAATATTTAAAAAAAAAACAACAACCGGACAGTTCAAATGATTGTTAACACAGTTAGCTTCAGCTGCGTGGCCAGCTTCACTGGACTTAAATAAATTTCGAACAGCTCACTTTCGATTAAAATGACGTCATATACATTATCTTTGCTAAAATTGCATCATTCAATATCTTCATAAAAACTAATTGATAAAATTTCTTGACTAAACTTACATCTGAACTGCTCACTTCACTTAATGTATCTATGAAGCAAAAAGCTAATCTTAGCAGCATTTCAAGCCCCCCCCCCTCCCCCCTTTTTCCATTTTTAGAAAGAAAAAAAAATCCCCATAAAAAGTGTTGATTCGAAATGAGGTCAAAACGAGAGAATAGATAAATATGAATGTTAAGAAAGTAGGTCAGAGATAAAGCCCTTCGAATGACTTGTGGGTGAGTACGCGGGTCACTCTCAAACGATGGGGAGGGGGGAGTGGGCATGTTTGTGTGTGAGTGTGGGGGGGGGGGAAATAATGTAGAGGCGTCAATTTAAACATTGAAATAATTTTATATTTTAATTATGACGTGTAGCTTTCAACAAGGCAGCTGTCGTGCTAGTATTTTTTTTTTCCTTTTCGTATTGATAGAAATTGAGTGCATCGTTCTATTTATAGACGTGACCTAAATAACCGATCAACCTCAGAATAAATCATTTGCCCAGCCCTACCTTATCAATAATTTTTTTTTTCCTTAAAAAAGTTTCAGGGTCTGAGAAAAGTTTGGTGGGAAAATGGTAATTTTTTTATACAATGTACATATTCACTTCCACCTTCCTCCCCCCCCCCCACCTTTTTTATCCCCACAACCTCCTCATATTTTATAAGGATCCACCAATTTTTTACCAAATTGGGGAAAGTTTAAAAAAGTTTAGGTCGCTGTTGAAGTGAGCAGTTTTCACCGTTGGAGTCTGTACCCCACTTGATCCTCATGTTTGCACAATCAATGTAAATAGAACATTACAAAAATCCAGCCCCTCAAATCAAACCTTTTTGTCTTTAAATCCTACAAATATATGCAAATAGGTTTGCATTTCTGTAGTACGTGATTTATCACTGCGAAGAGCAACAGCATCTCGCAAGACACTTAACGTGGAACCCTAACTTAACACATCTCGTTGCACATCTACTTCATTTTCCTTTGTGGATTTACCCCTAAACTGTTGTCTGGCATTATTTTAAAGACTGTTCTTAAGTTATCCTTGCATCATTTCCTTCATCTTCTCCTTGAAAAAGGAGGAAAACTGTTTTTTTATGGGAATGGGCCCGAAAAATTTGTTGGAATGTGTTATCAACAGCAACTAGTTTGTGTGCCAAGTTTCAGCTCGATATGATGTTGGGAAGTGGGTCAATAGGTCGTCCCGAAGATTTCCCACCAACACACGAACGAATGTGAAAGGCGTTTAAACAATTTATAAAAAAAATTAAAAAAATCATTCAGTCTAATTTATCCAAGTCGATAACGTCATCCAACTTTCCCGTCAGTGAAGAGAAGCAGCCCTCCACGCTACCACGTCCACACCTGTACCGGCCCCACATGGCGGACATCAACGTGCTGAGCAAATACAAGACGGCGAGAGCAGACGGGCACCAGCAGACGGACTACAAGACTGGGGTGCAGTCGCCCGTGGTCAGCCTCCATCGCGCCAGGCACGGGTCTGGACACGAGGAGAAGCACAAGACGATGACGTCACGGAGGTCGTCCCAGTCCAGAAGTCAGTTTGGCGGTGACAGCATCGAAGTAAGTGTCGGCACGCGTGTCAGTGGTGTCACAAGAGACAGTATTAATCATGAGTGTCAGTCGTGTCACAAGCGACACGACTGTTAGTAGTCACGTGTCAGTGGTGGGCATGGGTGTCAGTGGTTGTCATGGGTGTCAGTGGTTGTCATGAGTGTCAGTGGTTGTCATGGTGTCAGTGGTTGTCATGGGTGTCAGTGGTGGTCATGGGTGTCAGTGATGGTCATGGGTGTCAGTTGTGCTCATGGGTGTCAGTGGTGGTGTCGGGTGTCAGTCGCAAGATGGTTTAGATGCCCAGGTGTTGTAAGCCATCCACGATCCATTATCCACAGATTGACCTTGGGGAGCCTGATGCCAAGGACAGTGGGTTCGGCTTCACCATCAGGGGCGGAGTCGATATCGGTGTGGGTGTGTACGTCTCGTCCGTTGACAACGGGAGTCTCGCCCAGAAGAGAGGGTTGACAGTTGGTGACCTCATTGAGTCAGCCAATGATATCTCTTTCACTGACGTCACTCACGATGAGGCCGCTAGGGTAAGTGCAACGACGTCACTCATAATGAGGCCGATAGGTTACATGCACTGACGTCACTCATAATGAGGCCGATAGGGTAAGTGCACGGACGTCCCTCATAATGAGGCCGCTAGGGTAAGTGCAACGACGTCACCAACAATGAGGCCGCTAGGGTAAGTGCAACGACGTCACTCATAATGAGGCCGATAGGTTACATGCACTGACGTCACTCATAATGAGGCCGATAGGGTAAGTGCACTGACGTCACTCATAATGAGGCCGCTAGGGTAAGTGCAACGACGTCACCAACAATGAGGCCGCTAGGGTGAGTGCACTGACGTTACTCATAATGAGGCCGCTAGGGTAAGTGCAATGACGTCACTCATAATGAGGCCTCTAGGGTAAATGCAACGACGTCACCAACAATGAGGCCGCTAGGGTAAGTGCACTGACATGACTCACAATGAGGCCGCTAGGGTAAATGCAACGACGTCACCAACAATGAGGCCGCTAGGGTAAGTGCACTGACATGACTCACAATGAGGCCGCTAGGGTAAGTGCACTGACATGACTCACAATGAGGCCGCTAGGGTAATTGCACTGACATGACTCACAATGAGGCCGCTAGGGTAATTGCACTGACATGACTCACAATGAGGCCGCTAGGGTAAGTGCACTGACATGACTCACAATGAGGCCGCTAGGGTAAGTTCAATGTAAAAAATATTTAAGAAATTAGCATCTTTAAACCGTCTTCAATTCCTTTCTTTCAAAACAAGTCAAATGTCACTACATTGAATACTTTTATTTATTATTATAATTTTTGTTTGTTTGTTTGTTTGTTTGTTTGTTTGTTGTAATTAATAGGTAATAGCTCTTTCATACACTGTCTTACAGTACAAGAATTAATAAGAATACAAAAAACTGGTTTTAAAGTCTTACAGTGAAAGTTTATCCATCAAACAGTCAAGGTAACATCTGATCTTGCGCATCCCTCAGGGGAAAACATAAAATATAACAGATATCCAATCTGTCCCCAGATCATTAAGGCAGCCTCCAAGCTCCACCTGACCGTGTCTCGTGTGGGTCGCATCCCTGGCACCATGACCGTCCTGGAGACGTACACGTGGACCGACTCGAAGGGCAGACCCGTGTCTCCCCCGCCCCCGGGCAGTGGGACAGCCAGCGGGGAGGACGATGGGCGGAGGAAGAGTGGAACCCTGATGCTGAAAGGAAGCGACGAGAGGAAGGTGTGTACTGTGTACATGCGATAGTGCTGTTGGGGGTTAAATGTGTACATGACATGCGATAGTACTGTTGGGGGTTACTTGTGTACATGGCATGGGATAGTGCCGTTGGGGGTTACTGGTGTACATTATATGCGATAGTACTGTTGGGGATTAAATGTGTACATGACATGCGATAGTACTGTTGGGGGTTACATGTGTAGATGGCATGCGATAGTACTGTTGGGGTTAAATGTGTACATGGCATGTGATAGTACTGGTAGGGGTTATGTATGTACATGACATGCGATAGTGCTGTTGGGGTTAAATGTGTACATGGATGCAATAGCACTGTAGCGGGTTACATGTGTACATGGCATGTGATAGTACTGTTCGGAAGTATGTATGTACATGACATGCGATAGTGCTGTTGGGGGTTAAATGTGTACATTACATGTGGGAAGCACCCATGTTGATTGAATTTGTAAATGACATGGGAGATCACACATGGGAATTATCCGTGTACACGACAACCGATACGTCTGTTGTGGATTCACTGTGTACATGAAATCAATGGTTCTCTTAAATATAAAGCTAAACTATCAATTTTTTGGGGGTCACTTGTGTTAACTAGATCAAAGTTGATTTAATTGTTTTTGTAGTCAATTTAATGATATAAACTATAACAAGTGGAAACTATTTCTTGTCAATAGTTAGAATTTGAACTTTCTGGGGGACACCCACTGTCTTCTTGTTCCAACTGAACATTTAATGATTAATTTATCTTTAGGTGAACATTGTGGTTCAGAAAGGTCAAGGTCTGGGCCTCATGGTACGTGGAGGAAGTGAGTATGGACTTGGCATCTTCATATCTGGCATTGACCCCTTCTCAGTGGCTGAGAACGCCGGCCTGAAGGCAAGTCAATCCCGTGTGTCTTTTAGTTTAGTCCTGTTTCTGGTAGGTCAGAGTCCTGGTAGGTTATGGTCCTGGCATTTCATAGTCCTGTTAGGTCATAGTCCTGGTATGTCATAGTCCTGGTATGTCATAGTCCTGATAGGTCATAGTTGTGGTAGGTCATAGTCCTAAGCTATACTAGTTCTATAGATTGGTCATAATCCTTTTAGTTCATATTACCGCTAGGATATAATCCTGGATGGTCATGGTAATAGTGGGCGATAGATCTCATAGCTCATTTTGTCCACTTTCCAACAGTTGGGTGACCAGATCCTGGACGTCAATGGTCAGAGTTTCCTGGACATCAGCCACTCGGACGCAGTTAAACACCTGAAAAAGCGACGGCATCTCATCATCACAGTCCGAGACGTGGGCAAGATTCCATTCGGTAAAACCACCATCGATGAAACCGGCTGGATTGAGAGTACAAAGGTGGATTCTTTTGCCCGGAGCTCATCCAGCAAGTGGGTACAGTTCTGTACCCATATTTATTTATTTATTTCTTCTGTACCCATAGCAGTAATTCAGTTCTAATTTTGTCATGTCAGCAGTAAGGTTTACTTCTAACACACATTTTGTAATGTCAGCGGTAAGATTTACTTCTAACACACATTTTGTCATGTCAGCAGTAAGGATTACTTTTAACACACATTTTGTGATGTCAGCAGTAAGGAATACTTCTAACACACATTTTGTCATGTGAGCAGTAAGGATTAGTTCTTACACACATTTTGTAATGTCAGCAGTAAGGATTACTTCTTACACACATTTTGTAATGTCAGCAGTAAGGATTACTTCTAGCACACATTTTGTAATGTCAGCAGTAAGGATTACTTCTAACACACATTTTGTAATGTCAGTAGTAAGGTTTACTTTTAACACACATTTTGTAATGTCAGCAGTAAGGTTTACTTCAAACACACATTTTGTAATGTCAGCAGTAAGGTTTACTTCAAACACACATTTTGTAATGTCAGCAGTAAGGTTTACTTCTAACACACATTTTGTAACGTCAGCAGTAAGGTTTACTTCTAACACACATTTGTACAACTAAGAAACATTGAGCTTTAATCTAATATAATAATTTGCAAAATTGTAACATCAGGTAATGTTGTACCAGCTATCTTACTCTTTTACAAATGACCAACGTTTTCATAAGTTATAATTACTATAATGAGCCCACCAATTTGGAACAAACTACTTACCAAGGATAGATCTATAACCAATTACTGGATCTCTCAAACGAAATCGCTCTTGAAATTTTAACCAAACACATGACATCGTGACTGAGTCCGTCACATTGGTGTCCTAACCAATGCCAAAAGCACCTGTGTGATGTGTTATCTGTGTGATGTGTTATCTGTGTGATGTGTTATCTGTGTGATGTGTTATCTGTGTGATGTGTTATCTGTGTGATGTGTTATCTGTGTGATGTGTTATCTGTGTGATGTGTTATCTGTGTGATATGTTATCTGTGTGATGTGTTATCTGTGTGATGTGTTATCTGTGTGATGTGTTATCTGTGTGATGTGTTATCTGTGTGATGTGTTATCTGTGTGATGTGTTATCTGTGTGATGTGTTATCTGTGTGATGTGTTATTGATGTTTCTTGGATTCCAGGCGATCCGTCACCGGAAGTATCACAGACACTGATGTGCAGAAGGTAAATGGCCTGACCTTTGAACTGTGCTCTCTGTAGACTCGTATGTAACGGGTGATGTATGGGTTGGGTGAAGTAAATTGTTATGTCATTTTGCTATGAGGACAATCACAGACAACAGTTAAAATCAAATTCTCTATTAATTGACAACATAAGAAATAAGCACCTACCATAATAATATGTACTTGGACTAGAACCAGTGACGTAGGAATAGAATGCGGAAGGAGTGATCTGCCCATGGCGTCACTTTTTTTTTTCCTGTATGCATAGCGGCGGTAATTTCGGAAAACTACGGAATTTTTTCTGAGGAATAGGGTGGCACACTTCTCAACCTGCCTCGGGTGGCCTTAACTGTAGCTACGCCACTGGCTAAAACTTTTTAAAATTCTTTTAAATAGAGGTTTGGCAGATGTTGCTTTTGGCACTACATTTTTATCTTTGTCAATGACATATTTGGGAGTCGGTCAAATGTGAACGATTCGGTCTTGATTGGTATAGATTTTTGTGAGATTTAGCCTCTTCAAATTAAAAGTGACCCCTCATCATGGTTAGGCAACACTTGTAGTTTTATTTTAATATTCTTGAAAGTGGAAAATTCTTTCTTTACAAAAAAAAAAATAAAAAAAATAATAATACATCTTGTAACAGATCAAATATTTAGATACAAATTTTGTTTCGGAATAAAGTATATTTTTATAAGTTAGAAGGAACAGGAAGTTAATGGATATGGATCATGCGCAGAGAAGCAGCCGGATGAATGGCAGTTGTGTATTTTCATTATTGGCTCTTGCCATGATCACTTTCATATCAAACATCACCTTAACGTCGATTCAACAAATGTGAAGTAGAAGAAGTTATGTGACGATTATATTTGCTCTGATTGATGGAGATAATATTTCATGGGGTGTACATCATTCAGTTAATAAATGTTGTGATGCAAATTTATGGAGTTCTGACCCTCGTGATTTGTTAGATAGTCATGGACGCTTCTGTGAATATGAATAAATCATGTAAGCAGTAACTTCAAGTAACCTCATCACTGAATGGTCGTTACATATCTAAAATTTCAATGTTAGAGGAATGTTAGTTTTTCTTTCGTAGCTGGTTAGTTAGGTCAAGCTACACACTTGTAAAGTTGATGTTTTTGTAAGGATACCATTCCATGTAACCCTTTGTCCACTGTCTGGTGAGATTCGTGTCACCTACCCCAAATCGATGAACCCATTGTCGCCTGCTCCCACCAGAAGGTCTTCCAACGAGGACTGGGCACACAACTCATGAGATCCTCGCCGGGCAGAAGTCAACAGAAGAAAGTGGTTCACGAGACGTCCAGGCTTCTGCTGAACGAGTCCGAGCAGGCGTCCTTGAACTACTACCTGGCCGAATATGAAAAAGGCACCATCAGCGTCCAGGGCCTGGTCCAGGCATTGCTGGAACTGCTCAACACAGGGGCGAAGGTCAGTAGGTCAAAGGTCAATAGTTTTGGTGGGAACTTGTACCTAGTGTTGCAAGAATTAAAATATTGAAAATTTTAAATTTTAGGAGTTTTAGACACAAACATCTCAAACATGGATAGGTCAATCGCAATCTCATAATGATACATACATATGCGACACATACTAATATTAAAATGTTGATTAAAATGTTGATTAAAATGTTGAGAAAAATGTTGAGAAAAATGTTTATTTTCTTAAAAAATAAATGGCAGATTTCTTAGTTGATTTCAGACTATTCCCGTAATTGGTGAATTATTTGTCAACAAAACTATTTTCTTATCTTATATCATCGAAATTCGACACTAATAGTTGAAGTAAATTAGGTCAAAGTCAAGTTCTTGTTATTTGTATATCCTAAGAGCATAAAAATAAGTGCTGTTATTTTGAGGCTACACATTACTAATGCGATTACTTGATGCATGTGTGACGGTGAAGTACATATTGCCAGGGGCGTAGAAAAGGGGTGAATCTTGGTCGGAAAATTGTTCACTTTATGGGAAAAAAAGGTTGTGGGGGGGGGGGGGGGGGGGGTTTTTGACTTGGAAGGTTTTTTTTTTTCGTTTTTTTTTTTTTCTTTTTTTTTTTTTTTGAGGCTTTGGGCGGACAAGGTCTGGGGCCGCCTTGGGTGGCATTAACATTAGCTACGCCGCTGTGCCTACATTGTCTTGTTTGGTGGTTTGGAAATTTTTTCAAATGAATAAACTGATAATAAAATTTAATATCCCCCCCCTCTCCCCCATTCTGTCCCCACAGTACACTTTGCTGTCTGAGATCAGAACTTTGCTGAACTCCACGGATTTGAACATTTTTGATGAACTTCTGGTGAGGAGACACAAAGAGAAATCTCTGGTAAATATGCATCTGTGTTATCTTGCTGGCTGTCTTATCTAGTTGGCTGTCTTATCTAGTTGGCTGTCTTATCTAGTTTGCTGTCTTATTTAGTAGGATGTGTTATCTAGTGGGATGTGTTATCTAGTGGGATGTGTTATCTAGTGGGATGTGTTATCTAGTGGGATGTGTTATCTAGTGGGATGGGTTATCTAGTGGGATGGGTTATCTAGAGGGAGGGGGGAGAGGGGGAGAGGGGAAATTTCCGGGGAAACCAGGACGCATGGTAAACCTAAATAAAACTTCATGCACAGCTTTACTCAACTTTTGAAATCAAACACATTTCTTCAACTCGTTCACAAATATTTAACAACGCTTCGAACGTGTACACAAAAAGTACCCGAACAAGAAACTTTCATTAGTGTGTACAGCCAAACGTACACCTGAACATCCAATTAAAGTATCAAGATTTGAACATTTCAAAGAAAGATAATCTTTTTTCTTTTTTTTTCATTGGTCTACAGGAGGACGCTGACAAGTTACGTGCCCCTGACTCACTCTCCATTGGTTCGTTTGACAGCGATGACGTCATCAGGAGCGAGGCCCAGAGAAGAACTTTATTTTCTCAGCAGGTGTCACGTGACTTTAGTTTCCTTAATTGTTTCTTTAGCTCAGCATGGCTGTGACTTTGGCTAAATGGTTCATTGCTTGGTTTGGTTAAAATGACTGATATCATATAATGACCAACGGCTCCACCCACCGCTGGACATTGGTGCATGTGCCCTTTCTCCCTTCAACCCCCAACACCCCTCCCCCACACAACTCCCCAACCCCAGGACACCATGTAGTGAATCATTAATTATGAGTAACACCTAGCCCCACCCCCTCACCCCCACCCCCCGTATCTAATGACCAGATCTATTTGATATGTCCACAGACACCAACAGCAATACAACATATTTTGATGGAAACCATCCCCTCTCACCAGGGACAGCCTGCCACCCCCACCCCTTATAATTGGGTAAGCCCTGGACTTGTCTATATTTCAGTGGTTAGACTCCATAATATTGGACTGAGTATGTAACAAGTAGTGGTAAGTTCTGATCAGATAAAGAAATAAAAGTTCACATCAAGTGTATATAATGTATGAACAGGGGCGTAACAAGGTGGGGACGCTTAGGGTGTTGTCAGCCCCTGGCACATGTTTTCCTTTAAATGTAGTGACGCCACTTTTTGGCCATAAGCACAGTTTGTTTGGTGGATGGGGGCGGCAGAAATCTTGGCACGCCCCGGGTGGCACTTTCTAGTATAGCCTACGTGTTTGAAAAGGTAACATGAAACTCAAGAAAAGGCAGGCACGAGTCCTTACAATATGTGACGAAAAATCGAAAGGAAAGGAAAGCTGAGTGGGCGATGAGATGGGATAATGAAATTAAATATGGCCAATTGCCAGATCCTATAAGTCGTCAGAAGTTGTGCTCCTCTACACCACCATTACGAACTGCATGGCGATATACTTGAGCCAGTTGCTCCGTAAAGTATATCGTGTTACCATTCAAAGAGAGGTCCGTTGGGACGAGCATATTAACAATGTGTGCAACCAAGCAAACAAGACCCTGGGGTTCTTAAGACGAAATCTAAAGATTGGCAACTCCTGTGTGAAAGAAAGAGCCTATAAAGTCTTTGTCCGGCCGCTTTTAGATTACGCATCTTCAGTCTGGGACCCATTTACCCAGAAGAGCATTGACAGGTTGGAGGCGGTCCAGCGACGGGCAGCACGCTTTGTACTTAACCGCTACAGGAATGCCCTTTGCGTTGGCAGCATGCTGGAAACACTGGGCTGATCACCATTAGAGGAACGACGACGACTACCCAGGCTCTCCATGATGTACGAGATTTCGGCACCGAAATAACTGATTCTAACCAAGACAAATTTTGCAACTAGATATATTTAAACACAAGACATCTGAAGTATTTATCTTTAAAGCGAATTCATGTATAATTCGTTGCATAGCTCCTGAAATTTCACATATTCTTCACAAATATTTTTTCAAGCACGTGGAAAAGAAGTATACAAATGTATATTCTTGTATATCTCAATCACACATACGCAATCAATCACACATACAACTTTGCACACACACAATCACACGTACACTACGACTAGGCCAACCACTTTTTATATTTTATTTATATGTTATGCCTAGAGTAAAAAATAATATTTAAAAAGCAACACGCTTGTTTCATCTGTCACCACGTGTCTGACAGCGGAATGAGACGTCCAGACAGCTGAGTCGCTCCACGCCGGACCTGACACGTCTCCAGCAGGAGCGTCTCCATCGCAACCACGCGGACTCAAGGTCACCCGATGTACATCTTCGGCGTACATATTTCGATGCATCCCCTGGATCTAAGATCAAAACGGCCGATAGGCGTATCAGCAACGGGAAGGTAAGCCAGTGTTCTTGTATTCTGAAGTTGTTGCCCTTAAGTGGGGAAATTTTGTTTTTGAAAAAACAACAACAAAAAAAAACTACGTTATATTGGTCTTTTATTTATACTGTAGTCTACACACGTCTAATTATAACTTTAAACGAAACGAAATCCCTAGTCAAGTAGCTACATACCGTTTCTTACTTAAGAAACTGTCGCACCGGAATTTATCTAGAGTTCTTAGGTAGACAGAGGGAGAGAAAGAGATAGAAAGAGGGATGGAGAGGAGAAAGAGAGGGCAAGAGAGAGGGGGGCCGAGACAGAAATAGAGACACAATCGCCTATAAAGTTTTCCTTGCAGACACTCATTCAGACAGTGGAATAGATACTGAATCTTACTCAAAGTTGGATTTTACAATCGGCATTATCAGCCTCCTCTTTTACCTTTACCTAACATTGGCCATACTAACTTTAGTGAAGCTTGCAACTGGTGAACCCATGGCGTCCTAGTGAACCCATGGCATCCTAGTGAACCAATGACGTCCTAGTGAACCAACGGCGTCCGAATGAAGCAAATTAATTGTATCATTTGACGACCTTAAACAAATCAAATAAATTTTCATTGTTTTCTAAGCAGGGCAACACAACTGTTCATTATTTCAAATACATTAAGTTTAAAAATGACAATAAATGCTCTAAGACGACTTTCCTCCTGTGACCCTCAGATTGATGTCCCCAGTGATGACAGCGGCGTGGACATCAACGGTCAGTTCGTGAATGGTCACGCCAAGATCCCACCTGGTCGCGTGTCCACATTCCAACCGGTGGTGCCAAGATTCGCTCGGGTAATTTGAGAAAGAACTGACCACCACGTGTATCATATGGCCAGCACTGACATCACGCTGATCAGCACATCACACATACTAACATCCATTTTCAATTATATTCACTTGTCCCGCAATTATTATGAAGATCATGTCACAGGACGGTTGTTACGGTGGAGGGCTCCGGTCCTGACTTGTCATAAACTATTTTGACTTAGTAGTGGTCAGTACAGGACCGGTCCTCTCTGTGATTTATATTGTGGGTATCTAGACGTTGGGACAGACAAAAGAACAACGTAGACTTGAACGAAATCCAACAACTCAAACTCCAGGTGCTCAATGATGAAATAGACTATATTTTATTATTCAAATGAAAAGCTCTCCTATAGTCTTCAGTAACTGTCAGCTATCTCTATGAGTCTCTAAAGCTATATGACTGTTCAACTGTATCCTTTCAACTATTCCTATGTCAACTAGTCAACTGTCGTCTCCTGATCTCTCTCGACGGCTCTACCTCTACACTACTGTTCTACCTCTACACTACTGCTCTACCTCTCCACTCGACTGCTATACCTCTCCACTGATGCTATACCTCTCGACTGTCAAGTCTCGAAAGACTTCTCCCTTATATTTGCCCGTCGTGTGACTCTAAACTCTACTAGCTCACCATCCCACGGTCATTGAATGGCCACATCATTAAAGAGAACATTCCCCGACCGAATCCGTTACCCCCGGACCTCCACTCCATGTCCCTACCCACCTATTAGCAGCTACCACGTTGAGACATTTTCCATTACTCATAAATAATCTAACTCTACCCCTGGTCTCTACCACTTCCACCTGCAAACTAAAAACTTGTTAATCGAAAACATTGGTGATACCCGCTACCACACTGTCCCCCTGGATTCTCGATTTCCCTAAACGATCATGTCTTTCCAGTAGTACCATAAACTCTGTCGATGTCCGGCTAACCATTCCCTCATCTATCGTAGCTTTGTGCGACACCCACGCCCATCGCCCCCCGTCTCCAGCATGGTCATTTGTGACAGATCAGGCCTTTGATATTTAACTATAAAATGTATTTTATTGACACGCAGGTTGAAAACGTGAGATCGGCTCCCAATGAAAGAGAATCAAATCAGTTTCAGGCTAAAGGTGAACATTTGGACAGACTTCACGATAACGGTGAAGACCGCAGGCAAAAGCTTGATACGAAAATTGAGCACAGTCAGGATACGCTGACCACCAATGACCAGACAGCTCACCCGAAAGGTCACCACAGAATGTCAAGGCCACTGAGTTGGTTTTCCAAGAAAGACTTCCGCAAATCCCACCACTCGGTCGAGCACGAGGTTTTGGTGCACCGGCCTGATGACCTTCAACCCGCAAGAGGTGAGAGGTCATCCGCTCAAGGTGACCACCCGAGCAATAATAATAAAGGTCAAAGGTTGTTACATTCTGAGGAACGGCTCATGCCGAACTCAAATTCAAAATCGCCAGCAGACCAAACTGACAAATCAAACACTCTCAAAATGTATTACGAGCCAAACTTTGACCAAGCGGGCCGCCAAGGGACATCACCCTCGCCCAACCCACGAGACACAGCTGCCTACAGCGGTCAAAGAGAAACCTCATCGGTTGTTGCACATCCCAACGCGACGCTGAGGTCGTCAAGGTCACCTCACCCCGGTCAGATCCCCGACTCCCTGACCATCAACGGCGTGCCAGCTCCTCCCCCTCAACACCACAGCACCGTCATCCAGGAGACGTCGGCCGCGGCGGCGTCGTCGTACGCCCCGTGGCAAGGTCGCGGCCACCACGAGAATCTATCAGAGGACGAGCGGCAGCCCGGAGATTCAAAGGCTAAACACACAAAACTGTCACGTGGGCCGGGCGTTTCAAAGTCAAGGCCGTCATCAGACAAACCTTTCCGACAACCGTCGTCCGGGCAACCGAAAGAAAACGCAACGCCCGCGGCCGGTCATGGCAACGACGAATCACCCCCGTCCCAGTTCCACTCCTACCAGAAACAGAGGCGGTTCTCGTCCCCCAACAAGACTGCCTCCAAAAAATCCTCGACCGTCTCCAGATACTCGGCCGGCGCCAAACACAGCAGCACCATCTCGGTTCCCTCCATCGGCGTCCAGCCGGACTTGACGACTCAGCAGTCGGCGGGCACGCCGGGCAGGCAGAATGTGACTTCGCTGTACATTCAGTCATCCCCAGGTCAGGACGCGAGGTCAGGGCAGTTCGACCCGTCTTCCCAGAGGTGAGTGGAGCCCTCCGAGTAGTTTAACATGTTTTATTGTGTCAGTTTTGAATTTGGAAAAAGATAGGGCAACAGCAAAGTAGGTCAATAACTACATTGTAGTATAACCGCAGCTCTCTTGTAGGCTTGGATATAAAGGAACAAGAAAATATACTTGTTAATTTTTTCTGTTTGTTAAATTTTATCTATAAAATAACACAGTTTGTTTGGGAAGGGGGGGGGGGGTTGTCTTATGTAATAAACCATCAGCGAACTAACGAAATCGGCTAATAAATATTAATACAGAACATGGTTCTATTTTGATTGTCACCAAAACTGCCCATATGTGTGTGTCAACGAGGGATCATGACACAGATCTCATATTTGTGTGTCTTTGAAGGGCATGACATCGATCCAATATGTGCGTCCTTGAAGGGCATGACACAGATCCCATATTTTTGTGTCTTTGAAGGGCATGACGTAGATCTAATATGTGTCCTTTTAAAGGCGTGACACATGTCCCATATGTGTGTGTTCTAAATGGCATGACACAGAGCCCATATGTGTGTCCTTAAAGGGCATGACACAGATCAAATATGTGTGTGACCTTGAAGGGCATGACACAGATCAAGTATGTGTGTGACCTTGAAGGGCATGACACAGATCACATATGTGTGTGTCCACAAGGGAGCCTGACACAGATTCCGTATGATTGCGTCCTTGAAGGGCGTGACACAGAGCTTTAGTATTTAATTGTTCGCTTATGGTGTGTGATAAAGAGGTGTGTACAAAAGCGCTAACAGTGGCGTAGCTAGGGTTAGCGTCTCCCTGAGTGAGACGAACTCCCCCCCCTCCCCATGATAACAAAGTTTGATTTCTTTCTTGTATTGAACACACCAGGACGTTGGTGACACAGAGCCCAGGGAATGATAGCCAAACGGGCAGTCAAAAACCAGGGAATAACGTTGTGACCATTTCTGTTGGTGGCGCATCAGCCCGGAACGGCCAGATTTTATCCGTAAGTGATTTCAATTTCCATAAGGCTTGTATTAAACACTCCACCTTGCATAACTAAATAACATACAATACATGTGATTAAATGACATATGCTCTACCTGCTTGTAACTAACATACGCTCTGAGTAGGTTTGACATACACTCTGCTTGTTGTTGAATTGGTCACAGAGTTTTCAATGTTCGATTGTTTCTATAATCAGCAAACATCTGTTTAACTACAGCAACTCCCTGTTTAACTACAGCAATCTTGGACAATCTCCGTTATATATCATTTTTTACGTTTCTCTTCTCGCCCTGTCTTATATATCTTGTTTACACGTCCTTCTCACCCTGTCTTATGTATCATTCTTTACATGTCTCTTCTCGCACTGTCTTATATATCATCGTTCACATGTCTGTTCTCACCCTGTCTTATATATCATTGTTTACATGTCTGTTCCCACCCTGTCTTATATATCATTGTTTACATGTCTCTTCCAACCCTGTCTTATATATCATTGTTTACATGTCTCTTCCAACCCTGTCTTATATATCATTGTTTACATGTCTTTTCTCACCCTGTCTTATATATAAATGTTTACATGTCTCTTCCCACCCTGTCTTAAATATCATTGTTTACATGTCTTTTCCCACCCTGTCTTATATATCATTGTTTACATGTCTCTTCCAACCCTGTCTTATATATCATTGTTTACATGTCTCTTCCAACCCTGTCTTATATATCATTGTTTACATGTCTTTTCTCACCCTGTCTTATATATAAATGTTTACATGTCTCTTCCCACCCTGTCTTAAATATCATTGTTTACATGTCTTTTCCCACCCTGTCTTATATATCATTGTTTACATGTCTCTTCTCGCACTGTCTTATATATCATTGTTTACATGTCTCTTCTCGCACTGTCTTATTTATCATTGTTTACATGTCTTTTCCCACCCTGTCTTATATATCATTGTTTACATGTCTCTTCCCACCCTGTCTTAAATATCATTGTTGACATGTCTTTTCCCACCCTGTCTTAAATATCATTGTTTACATGTCTCTTCCCACCCTGTCTTAAATATCATTGTTTACATGTCTTTTCCCACCCTTTCTTATATATCATTGTTTACATGTCTCTTCTCGCACTGTCTTAAATATCATTGTTTACATGTCTCTTCCCACCCTGTCTTAAATATCATTGTTTACATGTCTTTTCCCACCCTGTCTTATATATCATTGTTTACATGTCTCTTCTCGCACTGTCTTATATATCATTGTTTACATGTCTCTTCTCGCACTGTCTTATATATCATTGTTTACATGTCTCTTCTCGCACTGTCTTATATATCATTGTTTACATGTCTTTTCCCACCCTGTCTTAAATATCATTGTTTACATGTCTCTTCCCACCCTGTCTTAAATATCATTGTTTACATGTCTTTTCCCACCCTGTCTTATATATCATTGTTTACATGTCTCTTCCCACCCTGTCTTATATATCATTGTTTACATGTCTCTTCTCGCACTGTCTTATATATCATTGTTTACATGTCTTTTCCCATCCTGTCTCATATATCATTGTTTACATGTCTCTTCCCGCCCTGTCTTATATATCAATGTTTACATGTCTCTTCAGACCCTTTCTCATATATCATTGTTTACACGTCTGTTCCCACCCTGTCTTATATATGATTGTTTACACGTCTGTTCCCACCCTGTCTTGTATATCATTGTTTACACGTCTGTTCCCACCCTGTCTTATATATCATTGTCTCTTCCCACCCTGTCTTATATATCATTGTTTACATGTCTCTTCCCGCCCTGTCTCACCCAGCCTCTCAGTTGAAATGTTTAAACTATTTAAGAACACGGCATGGGGTGGGGGTGGGGCGGCAGTGTGCTCATCACTGGACGGGTAATGGACTGTTTCTTCCTCTTCTGTTGTATGACAATAATAATTTCTGACTGGAGTAGAATAACTTAAACAACGGTTTTAATTTGAGTGAATGGCATGACCTCATTACAACCTGGTGGAGTACAATATGGCCTCATTACAACCTGGTTGATTACAACATGTCCTCATTACAACCTGGTTGATTACAATATGTCCTCATTACAACCTGGTTGATTACAATATGTCCTCATTACAACCTGGTTGATTACAACATGTCCTCATTACAACCTGGTTGATTACAATATGTCCTCATTACAACCTGGTTGATTACAATACGGCCTCATTACAACCTGGTTGATTACAATATGGCCTCATTACACATTGAATACATGGCAACACGCGGAATATATGGCCACACATGGAATGCATGCCACGCATTGCCACTCATTGCCACTCACAGCCACACACTTCCACTCATTGCCACAGATTGCCGCTCATTGCCACTCACAGCCACACACTTCCACTCATTGCCACACACTTCCACTCATTGCCACACATTGCCGCTCACTTCCACTCATTGCCACACACTGTCACTCACTTCCACTCATTGCCACACATGAATGCCTGGCGTTGAAAGGCTACAATGTCCTGACATTATTTCTATGATATGGCAAAGATGGCTTACGTCGCTGGCACCATCTGTGTCGTACATCTCAAGTTTATTTTGTGTTATTGAGCGTGAATTATTGAACGCTTTCCATGCTTACGGGACAGCTTTTGGCGGACTATGTGTGTTAGATAGAGAGGTAGAACGATAGAAAGAGGTGGAGACGGTGAGAAAGGGTGTCCCATGCCAAGGGTGCCACGTGCCAAGGGTGCCGGTTTTTGTATGCATCCCAACCACCCCCCCCCTAGCGCCACACTGGGTGTCGTGTAATATTTAAAAAAAACTCAAATATAAAAAATATTTTTGTTTTTAAAACCACACGTAAACAATACATTTCCCGTCTGCCTCGTCTTCAGCCGTCCTAGCGACCACGCCCCTGGGTCAATAACAACAATGATCAACCCTTGTCTCATCACGAGAGACGAGCGCTCGATAAGTTCCCGCTGAGTGTCACCAGCCAGCCATTGTGGATGTGTGGTCATGCGGATGAGAGCGGTTTACGTTAGCGAGTAAATCTAGATCTGTGCAATGACTTGTGACTATTCTATTGGAACCTGTGCTCTATAGTATAGGATCGAATTCTCTGTGACTTACCATTAGATTTTTTAAAAGTATTTCATAAACTAAATTATTACCCAACATGTATACCTACCTGTTAGTGTTACGTACTAACTTGTATTAAACAGAAGGTAATTCATTCAACAAGTGTCCAGAAAAGCTGCACTGTCTGTTTACAGTAGAGATAGAGGTGTAGATTTCATGAGGATATGAAAGACTGATTGTTGGGCAACTCAGTACGTGGATACTCTTGACATAACAACTTAAGCCTGTCCGTGAAAACATTTTAATAGAAGAGAAAATATTTGTTTTTTTAGTTGTTGTTTTTTAAACACGATAGATGGCAACAAATTGACCTTGTGGTTGCAGGGGCATTAGTGACAGCCCACAACCTTGTGGTGGCAGGGGCATTAGTGACAGCCCACATCCTTGTGGTGGCAGGGGCATTGGTGACAGCCCACAACCTTGTGGTGGCAGGGGCATTAGTGACAGCCCACAACCTTGTGGTGGCAGGGGCATTAGTGACAGCCCATAACTGCATACATTTCATATGATTGAAACATGATGTAATTAATTCAAGTTTTTTTTTTGCCCCGTTTTCACGAGTGACCGCCAAGAAATGGTGGAGTCCGCCTCTGACACAAGTGGACTAGGGTGTTCGACTACCTCTCGTATCAACAGATCGGGTTTACTCCCCTACAACATGTCGTGCTGGTGCTGCTTAACTCATGACAGCAATTCTTCATTTTACCTATGAGAATTCATGATTCTACATGATTATATGTGATTATACATGATTATACATGATTATACATGATTTCACATGATTATACACATGTACCGTATGCGAAAAAGATTTGTAACGTGCCAAAAATAAGATGATATCAAGATGTCAATGCCGTAATAAGAGTTGATTATGCAACTACCTGCCCGCTCCAGTTGTTCGATAGACTCTACATTAGACTAGTTTATGTGCCATAATGGTGGTGCAGGGGTGACTTGTTAGTTTGTTACGCTAACAGAACGAACTTACATCGCAAAAATTTCATGTGTCACCTCCGACAATCCAGCTGTCACATCAGACAATCCGGCTGTCATATCAGACAATCTGGCAGCATCTGGCTGTCACATCAGACAATCCGGCTGTCATATCAGACAATCTGGCAGCATCTGGCTGTCATATCAGACAATCTGGCAGCATCTGGCTGTCACATCAGACAATCCGGCTGTCACCCACATTAGGAAAAAATCACCCTATTCACAATGAACCCAAATATCGCATAGACAAAGACAGCTGTCACATAAGAAATGCAGCTGTCACATCAGAAAATCAACCTGTCATATCAGCTATCTCAACCGTAACGTACAGAAGTCGCGTCCATGTAAGAACTTTGACGGACTCAGTCGTAAAAATGTCACATATGTCACGTTCCAACGTGACGCTGCTGTGACCAAACTGATATGGCGATGGCTATGACATCACAGACGAAAATCTAAATGGATGGCTGTCTAGGACACAGGGGCTTTAGGCTGCCCCGGCCTGAGGTCTACACACCTGTGGAGTTGGCTGTCATAGATGACCAGATCAAGGTAGAGATCGGAGAATAAGGGTGGGGGAGGGGGAGTGTTGATGAGACCCTGAAGTTCACAGAAGTCCAGCATAATTTGTTGGTCCTTGTATGTTACTTGGTTTGCACTTGTATACATAAACGGCACCTTCTGTTGCAGAGACTTGTTTTTAGTGTTAGAACTGGACGGCATGTTCACGTCGAACCCAGGGGCGCCAAGCTCTTCAACACCCACCAGACCCGCTCATTATAATCTGCTGAACTTGTTACTTCGCCCTCACTGGCTGGACCATGAAACCGAATGACGGCCGGGGGGGGGGGGGGGGGGGGGGGGGGGGGGGGGGGCTTGGGGCAGGGGCTAAGACTGTGAGAATTCCAGGCGAACTCTCTGCCAGATATCAGAACATATGTGACCTTATTATGGGGGGTTAGGGTAGTTGGTGTACACCGCCTTAACCATTAAAATACCTCTTACCCACCAACATGGAAACAAATAACTGCCCCCCCCCCAAAAAAAAATAAAAAATAAATAAATAAAAATAATAATAATATAAAAAAGAAACAAATAACTGCCCCCCCCCCCAAAAAAAAAATAAAAAATAAATAAATAAAAATAATAATAATATGGAAATGCAGTTATCTTCTAAGCCTAACCCCAATCCTAACCCTTGACGCAATCCTAAATCTAATCCTAGCCCAACCCTAAAGGATAAGAACAAGGGTAGACCGGGTGCTTTATGAATACACAGAACTGACTGGTTGGCATCTTGCAGTCGACACAATTTATTGATTTACGATTGTAAATAATTCAGTAAAACTAGAAGATCTCATGTTTCTGTGCTAGATATTGTACATTTTAAATGCATTCTTGCATTGCCAGCCGGTCGGCTTGTAGTATCTATAGAGTTAATGGGGGAAATTTCTGATTCCTTGAATGATTTCCAATTATTCTAATTTATCTAATTTATCTTAGCTCTATTCGCCTTTCATCTGTTTTTAATTATTATTTTTTTTATCTTAGATCAAATTTATCTTAGATCTAATTTATTTTAGATTTAATTTATTTTAGATCTATTTATCTTACTCAGATCTATTTTATCTTATATCTCATTTAATCAGATCTATTTGCTCTTAGATCTATTTTAACCCTGATTTCTTCAACCAATATCAGATCGAGGCTCTAAAGAAGAATGCCACGGAGAAGTATGGGGAAATCCCATTGGACATTGTTTATATCTACCGCAGCAAGCCCACTTTGGGCGTGGCCATAGAGGGAGGAGCCAACACGAGGCAGCCCCTCCCAAAAGTCATTACTGTTCAGGTTGGTTACCAAATATAATAATGACATGACATGTGATAAATACCTAAATGGATATGTGACGTATGTACCATTATTAGTATGTTCCTAACTCAATGTGCAATGCAACATACTCTGGTGACACATTTAGGTTCAAGGGTTACCTAGCAACATCTTGGGGAAATTGTAGTAATCTATAACTGTACCAGCTACTAAAAAGCGTCTTTGCTTTCAGTGCAGAGCTAAAAAAACTACATTCATTTTAAACCTACAGTTTATTTCAACATATCACCTGGTGAGGAAAGTTGAGAATGTATTGATTTACTGTTATGAAATTGTTTAATCCACAGCCTGGTGGCTCCGCCTATGAATCTGGCGGTTTGAGAGTAGGTCACGTGATCCTTGAGGTCAACGGCCAACCAGCTGTCGGTCTGTCCCACATGGACGTGGCTCGCCTCATAGCGGAGGCTTTCAAGAACAAGAGCAACGACAGGATGGAGCTCCTGGTCACTGAGTGGTCGGACACACTGCTGGACACCATCAAAGTGGACATTGGTTTGCTCAAAGTGTAGCACTGATTACAGAGTGGTCGGACAGGACACACGGCTGGACACCATCAAAGTGGACATTGGTTTGCTCAAAGTGTAGCACTGACTACATAGTGGTCAGACACACTGCTGGACACCATTAAAGTGGACATCCGTCTGCACAAAGGGTAGCACCGTTCACTGAGTGCTGGGTTCACTTTGGTTTGCTCCAAATGTAGCTCTCACAGGTTACCGAGTGATCAGACATCCTGCCAGACACCATCAAAATAGACGTTGGTTTGCACAAACCGTTGCACTGGTCACTGGGTGTTTGGTCAGTTTACTGGACGCCATCAAAGTGGACATTGGTTTTCACAAAGTAACTTTGATGTGATATGTAACTTATTAAATCAGTAGAACATAAATTTGGTGTGTCTATTTGAAGTGTTCGCAGTGAGAATTCCTTGCTGTGTAACTTAGACGGCTCGACATTCCAAATACTTTCTTGAACCTTGCACAAACTTCTACCTGTGTAATGAAAGTGTTAATGCATAATTATAGCAAGGGAAACAATTTTTTTATATTACATTTTGGTAAATATAACTGTATTATTTCCCTTTAGCTACAAATTGTTCTATATAATATATATTATATATTTATTAATTTGTATTTAAAATGATATATTTAGTGTTCAGCTATTGTGATTTTTTGTACTGCATTGTGCGTAAAATGATATCTGTATTTTGCTATCAATGATTAAATACTTGAAGAGACAATGGTCTGAAAGTACTCAACATTTTTCCTTCGTTTCTTTGTTAATGAAACCAACAGAAATTCTAGTGTCTCTGGTTTTTCATTTTTATTTTACTTTAGCAGTTTAAATAGTTTACATATAATATTTTTAATAATTTTAAAGCGCTTAGAGCTGTAAGGTAAGCGATATAAAAAAAAAAATGCCTAAATAAATAAATAAAAATCAGTTGTCAGAAATCAGTTGTCAGAAATCAGTTGTCAGACATCAGTTGTCAGACATCAGTTGTCAGAAATCAGTGTTGTCAGACATCAGTTGTCAGAAATCAGTTGTCAGACATCAGTTGTCAGAAATCAGTTGTCAGAAATCAGTTGTCCGCAGTTAACTATTTTTTTTCTACAACACAAGTGATATATTAATTTCAAATTTTTTGTTCGTGTTGCTAATTGATCTAAATTTACAACAATTCTGGGCTTTATTTATTTGAACTAAAATAGTCACTTGGCATTGTTGATTTAATGTCTGTCAATGGCACAATGAAATCCGTTAGTCCCTTGGCATTGTTGATTTAATGTCTGTCAATGACACAATGAAATCCGTTAGTCCCTTGGCATTGTTGATTTAATGTCTGTCAATGACACAATGAAACCCGTTAGTCACTTGGCATTGTTGATTTAATGTCTGTCAATGACACAATGAAACCCGTTAGTCACTTGGCATTGTTGATTTAATGTCTGTCAATGACACAATGAAATCCGTCAGAAAAAAAAAATCAGATTTTAAACTTAAACAAAATAATAAAGGTGCACCAAATAAGAACAAGTTAAACAGGACTGTCTCATGGTCAATTGAATCGGTCAAGCATTTTTTTTTTTAAACTGTAAATATAAAGTAATTAATTCTGTCTGATATTTGTGAAGGGTGACCTCTATTGAAATTTGAAGCTCAGCTTGTAAGCATTTCAGATGTGCGGACTGATAGTCTTTGGTTAAAATTTAGCCGTATTCTAACTGTTGTGGTGCAGTGAAGTGTAGCTAAGATGTGAATTACGTGGAGCTGACGTTTTATCCTTTAACCATTTGGCAACGGATTGTTTATGACAGATCAATGACAGATGTATTTAAATTATTCATTTTAAATTTTTTTTATGTTTTAGAAAGCTTCCGATATTATTTTTTAATTTAAAAAAAAAATAAAAAAATATACATTTATATCTAGCCTATTCTAAAAACAATTAATTTCAATTTTGTTTGCAGGAAATCCTTTTTGCAGATTTAAAATGCCGGGGGATAGCTCTGGGAACATTTTATTTTTGTAATGTATTGAATGATGTACCTTTGATTAAGGCGCTCTGTTCCCACAAAGGAAGTCCTGTATTGTAAACAATCTAACTGACCAGCAGATGCCAAATTATGCACAGCAATTTGTTACCTTTAAGACTAGTTTAACTCAGTCCCAGTACCATAATTGATGCGACAGCAAATAGCTGATATCGTTTTTTTTTTAGCGTCATAAATGAAAGACTATCCACTATTAAATTTTCTTAAAAGATTTAATTAAGTTAACAGGTTTAAAAAAAAAATTTCTAACTCAAAAAATTTACTTCTGTAACAAAACAAACAACAGATAATTTGTACAAGAACAACAAAATGATTAAGTTCCAGATAGTCTACAGATTTGATGTCGTATCTTAAACGAAAAAATTCGTCAGCATCGATTTGATGGAAAATATTCATACCACCTTGACATTGCATTTATTTCAACTGTAGGTGTATATACACACAGTGACGTAGCTAAAGTAGGGGGGGGGGTGCGTGACGACCGCACCGGGTGACACCATGTTGAAAAATGGCCTGTTTACACAGCACACGCCGCTGGGTCGAACAGAATGTCATAAAATAAAAGGATTCAACGCCGAATGAGGTGCTCGGTAACTATCGGAAGTGACCGGAAGCTATATTTATCTCAATTCTAAGAAATAAAGTTTTCCAATGATACCAAATACGATTGTGGTTTAGGCGATTTTAAGTTCATGAATCGAATCGATAAAAATTTATAAACATAAACAATGACTTGTTACCCATTTATAGGATTAGCTAAACAAAGTGATATTTCACAATTTTAAAAAAAAAATCTTTTAATAATTACTAATATATTTAATAATTTATTAATATTTTTTTTAAAATGTTTTTTGGAAACTCAAAAATTAATAGTTTCGCTGATTCGTCATTCGCCCACCCCTTAACATTTGGGCACAATTGACAGGTTTGCAGCTTTGAAGACCAGGGAAGGCACATGTTAAATACAACAAATTTATTGTAAAAAATAACTATAACTTAACGTTGTTACAGTTCTTGAATACATTTACCTCCCGACCTTGAATGACTTTGTTCTAGTTCTTGTCATTTTTTTTTTTAATTTGGGTTTTTATTGTTGTTGTTGTTGCTGTAGAAGAAATCCGACGTGTGACACCATGAGTTTACTGCACCAGGTGACACCATGAGTTTACTGCACCAGGTGACACCATGCGTTTACTGCACCAGGTGACACCATGAGTTTACTGCACCAGGTGACACCATGAGTTTACTGCACCAGGTGACACCATGAGTTTACTGCACCACGTGACACCATGAGTTTACTGCACCAGGGGACACCATGAGTTTACTGCACCAGGTGACACCATGAGTTTACTGCACCAGGTGACACCATGAGTTTACTGCACCAGGTGACACCATGAGTTTACTGCACCACGTGACACCTACCCTAGCTACGCCACTGTATATAAAAGGCATGTGCCCAAAATATCATTACTGATACTCTCGCATCTTGAACTCGTACTTGTCAACTGTACACAGTAGCCACGGACTTGAGTTTGTCAACTGTACACAGTAGCCACGGGCTTGCGTTTGTCAACTGTACACAGTAGCCACGGGCTTGCGTTTGTCAACTGTACACAGTAGCCACGGACTTGCGTTTGTCAACTGTACACGTAGCATTATATAACACGTTCAACGTTCGGGAGTTTCAGTGCTTTAGGCACACACTTTATTTCCAACTGGAGCTTCACTTTGGAAATAGATTAGATGGTGATCAGAATACCCTTGCCTTTTATTCTCTCTAACAATGTATGCCATTAACTATTCAAGGGAACGTTAAGGGGAGACAACAAGTTTATAATTTAACAAAGACTCTAACACAACCACTGGTTAATGTCCTTTAATTTAGGCCGCTAAACTACGATATTTCCTGTCAGATTTTATATTATTTTATTTTTTTTAAAAATACTTTTTTGTTCAAATCATTTAGTGGTAAGAATTGTTTTCTCTCAGAATTCTTATTAAATTCACGTTAAAAATAATTATTATAAAACTATTCATCAGACGACAATAGTAGTATTGTCAAAGCTACTGACGTCATGATGACACGTTCATGATAACCAGGATTACCACACACCTTTTGTTGAATTATTTGGTTGGTTTCATCTTTAACAAATAATAATTTAGGTACACCACTGAATTGTGCAGACAAACCAAAGGATTTGGGTTTTTTTCTTGTTTTTTTTTTTTTTTTTTTTTTTTTTTTTTTGGGGGGGGGTTCTTTTTTTATTTTTTTTT